CCTTCCGACCCTTAATCTATGAAACTATGAAACTATAAGGGTGTTCTACAGATGTTGCAATACTAATAATAATGAAATATTTTAAGCCCCACAAATATTGAAAAGGTCTTTAAAAATATCATCAGGAACTAGATATGGTCTAGTGGCCTTAGCAGAAGCCTAAGCTTTTCTTAATTCTGGATTTAACCCAGCATCCCTTTGTGATTTTAGGCAAGTCACTTCATCTTACCTCTCCCATCTGTAAAATTATGTTAAGAACTACCATACCTCATAAAGGTGCTGTGAGGATTCAGATGCATCTGCAGAAGCACTATGAAGGTAGGACATACATAACAATTGCTTAAATATTATATTACAGATATTTTTGTTCCTCCTTGCAGAAACCAACAGATGGGAAGTAAAAGTAGTAAAGGTCTTCTTTTAAAGTGGGAGCTTTGTTTTAAACCAAGCAGAAGTCCAACTTACATATTCCTGTGTAAAGTCTATCAGGTTTTGCAAATCAATGTCATCTCTGTATGCTCTGATGTTGTTGTTTATAAAGAAATACAGCTGGTCTTTGATCCAGTCTTTGAAAACAAATGCCAGAACACCAGCAGTGAGCTCCAGGAAGAAGATAATCCCCAGGAACACAGAAAACTATGAAGAAAAGGGAAGGAAAAAGTTTTACAACTCATTTTGTCTCTGTAACTAAAAAGGTTTCCTCCCCCTTCACAAGTCTTTCAATTATATCTAAATGTTAATGATCTCAAAACTGGAAAGTTAGGTCAACGTCAGCATGTTTATCAACACAAAGTAAACTTATTCCTACACATAAAAAACCTGACTTCTTCTAAAAATGCAATTCATAACAAGAGTTACAGTGCCTTTTTAGGTGCCTTTTCATTTCAGCACCCAAATCCATGAAGCTCAGTCTAAGCACACGAAGCAGGCACTGGTAACAGCAGAAATTAATTAATGACTAAGTTACAATGGAATGTCTATGAAATGATTTCTTATCCACATTAAAACCAACAGAGTTATGATGATTAGTGAAAATGCAATGAATGCCAAAGGCATTACAAATGACCCACCACTCACTCTAACCATCTCCAGTGTAGCTATATGGTATTTTAAAACACAAATGGGTTCTGGTATATTAGAAATCTCTCTTGCAACTGTGCTCTTGAGTCTCATTTCAGTATGTTCTTTCTGCTTGTTCAGATACATTTTTAATTTTTCCTGCCCTACAGGAAGCTATTTCTGGTGTAACAGATGGGTTCATTTTAGACAAGCTGAGAGAAGCAAGGAAAGGAAGAAGCAAAAAAAAGTTGCAATACTTTTGTAGCAAGACAAAAGCAAGTTGGAACAAAACCAACCTTGAGAAAAGTAACCAGCAACCACCTCCTCTCTCCACACAGCACTTCTGCCCCAAGGAGCCAAAGATATTGCAGGAAAGCAGCAGTTGCCCAAGCAGCATTTTCGTGGACACATAAACAGATTATAGTGATAAAGGCACAATTTTATCACTACACAGGCCATGTCCATCCATGGGCTACAGGCTGAGAGGGGAGAGGAGGGTGGCTTTACAGAAGTGAGTAAACTGTGGTCTCCCTCAGCTTTAAGTGGAAAATGAGCCCTACAAGAAGTATAGTTTCTAATCAAATCAACCCAGCTGCTCAATTCAAGAAGGAGCACTAAATGCAGTGACTCATGTGCGTAACAGGAGTCCCTTTTATAACTGAGAGTTCAAGCCAGTATTCAGGGAGATACTTCCCACACAGCCCCAGACTGAATAATGATGACATTAAACAACGTAGATAGCCAGAGGTGGTTAGCCAGGTTAGCCTGAAGTGGAGCAAAATGCAAGGACGAGGTGCACCATATACAGACCAACTGAATGCAGGTGGTGTTGAAACAATCTGGACCACAGTCAGGGATATCTGCAGGGACTTGTGATCTCAAACCAGAAGGGACAATAGGGGACTGAACTTCCATGCTAAGAATCATGTGGGTCGCATTTAATAGCGCATTCATGTGCCTCATCCTTGGCAAAGGCTGCTCATTACAGACTTAGAAAGCTCACTATGCAAATTATTAAAATTGGTTCTCTCCTTAGGGAAAGAAAAGCAAAAACATTAGATGGGATACTTATAAGGAGCCGTGTGCTCTACATTGACTCTTCAACATGATTTGTATTGTATACATTAAAACCCAAAGACCTGTAATTGCTTGATAGCTTCATTGTTTAAGTGTTAAAAAGTTAAGGAAAATCCGAAATACAATATGCCTCTGTGAAATACCCTAAAGGCATATATGTATTGAGAGACTGATGTTGTTAAACAGTAACACAGAACATGGTTTCACTTCTGTAACTGATGAATCAAGCAGTTGCAGAGACTACTTACGAACTTGAGGAGGAAGGTGTTCTCTCGCAGAGCTCCAATGCATCCTGCAAATCCCAAAATGAACATGACTCCTCCTACCACAAGGAAGAGCCAAACTGGATCAAAGCCTCCCAGGTCAGTAATAGAGGAGATATTGGACAGCA